TGATGCAAAATTAGTTTTGTTAAAAATTATAAATGTAGTATAGGAAGGAGGTGCTATTCCAAAACAGTGGAAAAGCTATCAGACACTATTCATAGATTGCATTGTCATCCTGTGTAGGTAAAATAATGGAAAGAATGGTTAACGAACGGTTGATTTGGTGGGCGGAACACACAAAGAAAGTACATGTTACACAAAACGGATTTAGGAGAGGAAAGTCATGTTTGGACAATTTGGGTAGACTATTGGCGGACATACGTACAGGGATACATGAGGATAGCTACTCTTTGGCGGCTTTTTTAGACGTAACGGCGGCTTACGATAACGTGGACTTGACCATATTAAGGGAGCATCTATGTAATATGGGTTGTCCGAAAAAAATTTTAGACTTTTTGAATAAATGGTTATCCACAAGGGAGACTGAATTTATAATAAGTGACACGGAATCAAGAATTTTAAAAGTTAGTAAGGGCCTTCCTCAAAGGGTCGTGTTGAGCCCTCTGTTATATGCGCTATACACGAGACTCATAGCAAACGATATAGGCGTTTATTGTAAGATCCTGCAGTTCGCGGACGATATTGTAATTTACACGATCGGAAAAAATAGAGAAATAAATCGCCGCAATTTAGAAGATGCGGTTAATCGCGTTGCGCAGAAATTAGTGGGATTAAACTTGGAGCCAAAAAAGACCAATCTGGTAGAATTCTCAAAAGCTGGTTGGACAGATAAGAATATGTATATAAAAATTGCCAATGTGAAGGTGTTCAATACTAATAACGCAAGATTTTTAGGCATTGATTTTGACAGTCGCACTAATTTCAAGGCACACATCCAGCAAATTAGAGGTAGAATGAAGAGGGCGAATGCTGTTGTGAAATACTTATGCAGAGTCTCTTGGGGTGTAGAGGTCAACACAGCACTTATGCTGTATAAAAGTATGGTTAGATCCGTATCAGATTACGGCAGTTTTATTTATGCTCCTACGGACAAAGAATACATTTTAAAGCTTGAAAGAGGGCAATATGCGGGTATCAGAACGGCATTGGGTTATCGAAATTCTACGCCAAATAATGTGATAATTGCGGAAGCTAAAGTAACATTATTAAAGGATATGGCGTTAATGCTGGCTAGGAACTGGTGTCTGAAAAACTATAAATATGGTGATTTAGGCGTGAGGAACAGCATGAACAATTTGATAAAAATGGAAAGTTTGGCGTGCTATAGGAACCCTCTATATAAAAAATCAATGCTGGGTAGAGCGTGGAAAGACATAAAAAATATAGGGGATAAAGTAGGTAATAATGAAAATACGTATGAGATTTGGCAAATGGACTATGCGGTATTGACTGAAGATTTAGAAATAGATTTAGAGTTCGGGAAAGAATATCAGGATAGGGAAAAAACAAAGGAAAGATATGTGGAGGGCTGGATCATGAACGAAGAGGACAGAAAAATGAGAAGACGATTATGTACTGAGAAAAATCTGATCTCGTCTAAGACAGAGATGATATATACAGATGGATCGAAACCTAAAGGCGCACAGGCAACAGGTGCAGGGATAGCGTCGGAGCGTCGGGAGATCGCCTACTATGTGAGCTTGCCTAGCGAATGTTCTTCATTCACGGCGGAAGCCTTTGCAATTAAATCTGCACTTGAAATTGAATTGTCAAAATTGGACAAAGGCAATCTTACGCTGGATAATTATTGTATTATGTCAGACTGTCAGGCTGTGATAAAAGCTGTGCATTCAAATACTTTGAATGTATATGTAAATAAGTATATATTAGATATTAAAAATCTAGTTTATAAGCTAAAACATAGATTTAACAAACGTACTATTATGGTATGGATTCTGAGTCATAGAGGAATTGCTGGCAACGAGGTGGCGGATCAATTGGCAAAGGATGGAGCTAAAGAAAGGCCTGCGCATGAGATTGAAGTCCCGATACATGACATACGTAGTTTAAACAAGGAAAGAGCATATAACGATACGCAACAGTCGATAGAAATGGACGCTAGGTTTAAAGGACAATTTTACTTTGATAATTATTACAAGAAGCATAAGAGAAAACCGTGGTTTCATAATTTTAATGCTGAAAGATACTACATCACCCTTTTGAATAGACTAAGATCGAACCACTATAATTTGAATGAGTCACTTGCGAGAAAAGGATACGTCGATAGCGAGCGTTGTGAATGCGGAGGCGAGAGAGAGGATATAGACCACGTGATATGGAGTTGCCACAAGTACGACGACTTGCGTGAAAAATTAGGCATAGAACTGTCGAAGAGAAGATTGGAGGGCAGGGAGAGCATATTTTCTTTGATAGAGAGAGAGCAATGGGAGAAGATTGATGTGATATTCACTGTGCTGCTGAAAAACATAGGAAAGATAATATAATATTAATAGCATATTGGATCGTGCAGGAAAAATCAGTCTGAAAACGGGCGTCATATTGTAACCGGAATCAGTGCCCGTTTCTATGAAATCGACAATATGATAATCCCTCTTGATATGACCATCGGACCTTTTTCCCCGAAGACCCCTTTC